TAGAGGTAGGTAAAATGCTCCAAGAGTTCTATTTCTTCATGACTTACATGACTAGTATTTTATATTAAAAATAAAAAAATTAAACTAGTATTTCTAGCATCTCTTGATACACATACACACACTTATAAAAATGTAGCAATTCCTTTTATAGCACTGATTCTAAGAGCATATTAATTAGATATCTTTTTGAGTTTGTAATATTCCTTATGTTTGAATTTCAGAAAACAATTATACCTTATTTTTCAGAGAATTTTTTTCCATCTTTCTTGTAGAAATATGATGCTTTTTTTAACCAACTAAATTATTTCTGCTTTGCTTAGTTTTTTTTTTTGAAACTGCAGTTCTATTGATAGGATCCTGACTCAAAGTATTCTTTCTTAAAAAATTGAAATATAATTAACGTACAGTGTTATATTAGTTTCAGATGTGTAATACAATAATTGAACAATTCTGTACCCTCCTCAGTGCTCATCACGATAAGTATACTCTTATTCCCTTTATTTTACCTAGCCCCTACCCACCTCCCCTTTGGCAACCACCAGTTTTCTGTATTTAACAGTGTGCTGTATTTTTTTGATTTGCCTTTTTTCTGAACGTATTCTATCTTAACATATTCAAGCTAAAAAAATAGGGTGTGAAATATTTATCAAAATTGTCAAGCAAATATAGATAAAATTTTGATAAAAGCACTCCTAAGTATCAGGTTTTAGTATCTGTGTTAAAGAATATGTTTAGAAATAGGAAACTTTTTGTCGGGTAAAATATAGTTTTTACATGTTGTTGAAATATTTAATTTAAGAATGAATTAAGCCTGAGTAAGAGAAAAGTATTGGAAGCCTAGTAAAATCCTCTCATTTGATAGGAGAATGTAGTCCCTTTTATAAATCCGATGTCCCCAAAGAAATATTGTTAGTAAACATATATATAGCAAAGCTTCTCAAATCCTAATCACTTCATTTAGAAGGATACAAATTGAAGTCATTCCTTACCTTTAGCTAACTAGTGTCCTGGTAAAGCAATCATGAATTCTTTCTGAAACAAGTCCAGGGGAATTAGTAAACACGTGGATTTCCTATATTATTAAGGGATGAGAGCTTTTAAACCTACTTTTATTCTTGAGATTTTAACATATCTATATGAAGATTAAATTTGTAGTTAAACATTTTGTTCTAGATTGCAAAAACTTTAAATGACTAATGCAATTTACCTCTTTTAATAGGTTCGTGTAAATTCATTAGTGTGCTTAGGAAAGATTTTGGAATACTTGGATAAGTGGTTTGTACTTGATGATATCCTGCCCTTCTTGCAACAAATTCCATCCAAGGAACCTGCAGTCCTCATGGGAATTTTAGGTAGCTGAAAACTTAATGTCATTTGATGCAGTTTTATTATTTTATAGTCATGCAAATGAATCTTCCAAATTATAAAACCTTTGTATCCTTTTTTCAAGTATATAGCATTCAGTAATTGAGGAATGGTGGGATAAATACCATGATATAACTTTTCTTTGTGTTAATTTTAGCAAAAACTGTAGTCTTCCTTGACATTTACAAAAGAATTAGACATTTGGGAATCCTAGCTTCACAAATATCGTGATCACATGTAGTTTTCTCTGTAAAATGATACCAAATAAGAGAGGCAAAAAAAGCTGCTTGAAATGCTGATACCAGTCGTAATAGTAATACTTGATGGTTATTTGGTACCCAGTTTGTAAAAGGCACTATGCTGAGTATTTTTGCTGCATTATCTCATTTTGTCCTCTCCAAATTCCAATGAGATAGGTACTGTTATTTCTGTTTTACAGTAAAGAAATTGAGGGCCAGAGTTTAAGTAAGTTATCCAAGATAACACAACTGATAAGTGGTAGAGCTGGTTCTTAAATTATGTATGTCCAAATCTTAACAAGTATGTTTCACTATTAAGTGATGTGCTTATGAAGCATATTAGCCTTACAGCACATTCTATTCTATCAGCATAATTACAAATTACTCTGTCAAGAAACTCTGAAATTATTATTAGTTAAAGCTTTGACAGTCCAGTCTGGAAATTCTGAGGTTCTGCTATACTCATGGAAACAGACATAATTGTAGAATCACAAAAACATTAACAAGTTTACTTTTTACTAATTTTAAAGTCTGTTAATTTGAAGAAAAACCAAATTACTCAGCTGTGTATTTTTAACACCTACCGTAGTGCCTGCTGTATAGAAAGCTCTCAGTAAATATTTGTAGGAATGGTCAGCAAATAATTTATTGTAGACCTCTGTAGGCATGAGATGTGGTATGAAACTTTTGGGCTCAATGAAATTAGTCTTCTTGAGAAGGAGTTTGACATAGTGGAAAGAGCCCTAGCTTCAATCCTGGCTGTGTCAGTTCTTGGACTGACTTTGAAAAGTTGCTTCATCTAACAAATGAGGATGAAAATGCATCATTATGGGAGTCTTATGAGAATTCAGTGAGAAAATGGGAAGGGAAAAGTAATGAGCATAGCAATTAAGTGCCTAGCGAATAAACATTTAGTTAGGTGTTCAATAAAGTTACTCTTTGAGTATTTAAGTGAAGTGTACATTAACAGCAAAATGATAGGATATGGTGTGTTCTAAGGCTATGGATTATATACAAAACACAACAAAAGCATTCAGAGAATGAGAAACAAATGTGCTCAGTTTACCAAATGAAGGCTTTGTGGAATAGGTGTAATAAGCAGGGTCTTGAAGTTTGAGTAAATAGGTGAGACTATAGGGAAGGATTGTGTGGAGTTGAATTAAATTATTAAAGTTTCAAACATGTTAAGTCTGATTAAAGAATGAATAAAGGTGTAGGACCTATACTCACACACTTGTGAAATAGATGTCTCAAATTTGAATGGGAAGTCTGAACTATATATTCAGATGTTTTCAGGATAGAGGGTCATTCTGTAACCTTGCTGCTGCATTATGGTAAGGCTTTTAATGTTATGCTAACAAATGTGCTCTTAAGCCAAAAGAATTCAGGATAAATATGTCATGGTATTTAAATCTAAGCTGGTGATAAAACTGAAATCATTCTGATCCATATGTAAGAACATCCTCATTCTAGGTGCTGACAAGGAAAAATTTGTAATTATATTAATTATCAAGAGATTTCATGTAGATATCGTAATGTCTATTAATTTGTGGTATTGAACTATAAAAAAAACTATAAAATTTGTCTCATTCTTTTCTATCAGGTATTTACAAATGTACTTTTACACATAAGAAGTTGGGAATCACCAAAGAGCAGTTGGCTGGAAAAGTATTGCCTCATCTGATTCCCCTGAGTATTGAAAATAATCTTAATCTCAATCAGGTAGGAACAGTTTTGTGTTTTATTCAGTTTATTCAGCTTACTGTTTTCTTGGCACTAAATATATAAATATATTACATTTAGGTGTTGCTAAAACAAGGAAAAATAGCCGAAGAGTTCAAAAAAGAAAGTTTGTGGATTCAAAGTAAGGAGTATGTGAGTTGGAAGGATTATTGAAGGCCTCATTGGGAGATAGTAAATGACTAGAACATAGAAAGATATGTAGGATTGGGCTACTTCAAATTTGGGGCTGGGAAGTTGACATGAACAAAGAAAAAAATCAATGTAATGTGTCTGGGGTGTGTATCTGTTATTTATTGCTACATAACAAATTACCATAAACTAGATGGTTATTTCATTGTTTCTGTGGATCAGCCAAGCCAGGGCATGGATTATCTGTTCAGAGTTTTCACAATGTTACAGTCAAAGGCTGGTGACTCATGTGAAGTCTCAGTTGGGGGAAAGAAGGATCTGCTTCTAAGCTACTTACATGGTTGTTGGCAGGATTCAGTTCCTTTTAGGTTGTTGGACTGAGGGCCTCAGTTCCTAGCTCTCTGTTAGCTGGATGCACTGTCAGTTCTTTGCTTCATGGGCCTTCCAACATGGCAACTTCTTTCATCAGAGTGGGAAAGAGAATCTGCTAGACAGATGAAGGTACAGCATCCTGTAGTGTAATCAAGGAAATGACATCCAGTACCTTTGCTGCATTCTCTTGATTACCAGCAGGTCACAGCTCCTGCCCACTCTCAAAGATAGGGAGTTACACAAAGGCCTGAGTAGCAGAATGAGGAGATAATTGGGAACCAGTTTCGAGTCTATCTGCCATAGGAAATGAATAATCCAGTTTGACTGAGAGATACCTATAAATACAGTAGGGGAGTAATGGGAGAGAGGTAAACTGAGACTAGTATAAGTAGACTTTAAATTGCTCTCTGATTTAGGTATTTGCTTTTTTTGTTGTGATTTTTATTTTAATTCCAGTATAGTTAACATACAGTGTTATATTAGTTTCAGGTGTACTGGTTTAGGTATTTGAAATTTCAAGATGTGGTAAACATTTGATCAAAGAGGTAATGTATTCAAAGATTATTATATAATTATCTCTCTGCATAGCTCTATCACTGTAGTTATCACAGGTATGTACTCATGTGTCTGCCTTTTCCAGAAGGCTGGTTATTATATCTTACACTTTATTATACCCACAGCACTTAGTGCAGTGCTAAAACCAAAAATATTTATTGAACTGAGAGAAAATTTGAGTTAGAGTAATGACAAGTCATTTTATTCACTTTAGAACTTGTGTTTAATGGAGTAAAATGGAAAAAAGACTGGGATTGGTTGGTTACTGTTTACCAGGGAGTGTCAGAAATGGATAGGCAGGCAAGACTGGGAATTAAGTACTGAAAGTGAAGTAGAGCAATTAAGGAAGCAGAAAGCTGGGAGTTAAGCAGGAAAGCTTTTGGCCTTAGAGGAGAGTGCTGAGTGAATAGAGTTTTGGAGTTAGAGAAATTTATAAAATTAATCAGATCCCCTCTGCCACTCTCGCTCCGGGATGCCCCGCGCCAGAGACGCAGCAGCGCTCCCACCGCCCACACCCACTGCGCCCTCGCTCGCCTGTCCTCCCCGAGCCGGTCCGTGCCGCCGCAGCCGCCCGGCCCACTGCCACCCTCTGCAGCCATGTCCACCAGGTCCGTGTCCTCCTCCTACCGCAGGATGTTCGGCGGCCCCGGCACCGGGAGCTGGCCGAGCTCCACACGGAGCTACCTGACCACGTCCGCCCGCACCTACAACCTGGGCAAGCGCGTTGCGCCCCAGCACCAGCCGCAGCCTCTATGCCTCGTCCCCGGGAGGCGCGTACGCCACGCGCTCCTCCGCCGTGAGCCTGCTGCAGGACTCGGTGGACTTCTCGCTGGCCGACGCCATCAACACCGAGTTCAAGAACACCCGCACCAACGAGAAAGTGGAGCTGCAGGAGCTGAATGACCGCTTTGCCAACTACATCGACAAGGTGCGCTTCCTGGAGCAGCAGAACTAGATCCTGCTAGCCGAGTAGAGCAGCTCAAGGGCCAGGGCAAGTCGCGCCTGGGGGACCTCTACGAGGAGGAGATGCGGGAGCTGCGCCGGGAGGTGGACCAGCTCACCAATGACAAGGCCCGCGTCGAGGTGGAGCGCGACAACCTGGCCGAGGACATCATGCGGCTCCGGGAGAAGTTGCAAGAGACGATGCTTCAGAGAGAGGAAGCCGAGAGCACCCTGCAGTCTTTCAGACAGGATGTTGACAGTGCTTCTTTGGCACGTCTTGACCTTGAGCGTAAAGTGGAATCCTTGCAAGAAGAGATTGCCTTTTTGAAGAAACTACATGACGAGGAAACCCAGGAGCTGCAGGCCCAGATTCAGGACCAGCATGTCCAAATCGATATGGATGCTTCCAAGCCTGACCTCACGGCTGCCCTGCGTGACGTACGCCAGCAGTATGAAAGCGTGGCTGCCAAGAACCTTCAGGAGGCCGAGGAATGGTACAAGTCCAAGTTTGCTGACCTCTCTGAGGCTGCTAACCGGAACAACGATGCTCTGCGCCAGGCAAAGCAGGAGTCGAATGAGTACCGGAGACAGGTGCAGTCAGTCCCTCACCTGCGAAGTGGACGCCCTCAAAGGGACTAACGAGTCTCTGGAACGCCAGATGCGTGAAATGGAAGAGAACTTCGCCATCGAAGCTGCTAACTACCAAGACACTATTGGCCGCCTGCAGGATGAGATTCAGAACATGAAGGATGGCCCGTCACCTTCGGGAATACCAGGACCTGCTGAATGTCAAGATGGCTCTCGACATTGAGAGCCACCTACAGGAAGCTGCTGGAAGGCGAGGAGAGCAGGATTGCTCTGCCTCTTCCAAACTTTTCTTCCCTGAACCTGAGGGAAACCAATCTGGATTCCCTCCCTCTGGTTGACACTCACTCAAAAAGGACACTTCTGATTAAGACGGTTGAGACTAGAGATGGACAGGTTATCAATGAAACTTCTCAGCATCACGATGACCTTGAGTAAAGAGGGCACAGAGTCGATGCAGCAATACTACCAGCAAGAATAAAAAAAGAAATCCGTATCTTAAAGAAACAGCTTTCAAGTGCCTTTCTGCAGTTTTTCAGGAGCGCAAGATAGATTTGGAATAGGAATAATCTCTGGTTCTTAAGAACCAACACTCTTAAAAGATTTAGGAGAAAGTTTACAGCATAATCTAGTTCACAAAGAAAACCTGTGCTAGAATACTTTTTAAAAAGTATTTTTGAATACCATTAAAACTGCCTTTTTTCCAACAAGTATCTGACCAACTTGTTTCTGCTTCAATAAATCTTTGGAAAACTCAAAAAAAAAATTAATCAGACCCAAATTTCATTTGAAGTGGTAGGGTAAGCCTCTGAAAGTTTGTGTCCCTAAATTTCAATTTTTGGTTTGATAGTTTCTTCATATCTTGGGAGGCAGGGTTGAAGTTACAATTGGAAAAAAGGGAAACAGTGAATATTGGGGAAAAATTGGATGATGATATAGCTAAGTCCAACTTTTGGTCATTTGTGTTCTTAGTTCTCACATTTATGATTTAGGATGTTTTTAAATATTCCCAAATGCTTATAATATATAATTTCATTTGAAATGTGATGTTAGTTTTCTTCAGCTTTATGGTTTGAGTTTTTAGGGGCCTATTTTCATCAACAGAAATACTTTGATTCATATTTTCTGGTATTTTACAATAGTTAACATGGGTGTGGTCTTCTTTCCTATTCACTTCATGGAGAGGGTTCCTAATTTAAGATTCTGATTTAAAATAATCTAAGTATATTTTGCATTATGGAAAATGATAACTTGATTTAAGAAAGTACATTTTTTTTTGCATTTGATTATAAAACAGGAAATACTAAGTAGCAATCAAAACATATCACAACTTGTGTTGGGTGAGGGTTCCAAAGACTACCTCCAGATTCAGTGATTCACTAGAAGGAGTCACAGGCCTCAGCATATAGTTGTAGTCATGGCTATGATTTTTTATGGCGAAAGGATATAAAGCAAAATCAGCAAAGGGAGAAGGCTTATAGGGCAGAGTCTGGAGGAAACCAGATTCAACTTTCCAGAGTCATCTCCTCAATATATTTACTCTCCCTGGTAATGAGTTGTGACAGTATATGTGAAGTATTGTAGCTCCATCTGCCTGTCATGTACTCAAATTCCAGACTTCCAGAAGGAAAGCAGATGTTTAGCATAAAACAGTCTTTGTACAGTTTAGTGAGCCACTATCATCAGTTAATGATGGGAACTCTCCTAAAATCTGAGTTCCTGGACCCTGGCCAAGGGCCAACCTTGCAAGCAGGCCTTTTCCAAGATAGCAGTCCAGGCCCAATGTGTTAATTCTTCTGAACCACTACATGCAACAGTATGGATGAATCTCACAAACATAATGTTGAGCAAGTGAAACCAGACACACAAGATCTGCCGAATGATTCCATTTATATAAAGTACAAAAACAGTCAAAACTATACTACCAGAAGTCAGACTAGTTTTTACTCATAGGATAAGGGGGTGGGAAGTAGCTAGAAGGGGGCACAAGGAAGCTTTTGGGGTGCTGCCAGTGTTCTTTTTCTACATCTGACTACTGGTTAAATTCAATTTGAAATTTTTGGTATGTGTGCTTATATATGTATACTTTTCTGTTAGTATGTTATACTTCATTACAAAGTTAAAAAAACTAATCAGAGTGTCCATCCAGGTAAACTGCTAAGGAAATAATGCCTTTTGTTACTCTCATGGTAAGACAACGGATGATTGAGCATGGTGAGAAGCAGTGTCAAGTAGAAATGAGCGCAAACTCTGGAGACAGACTTACATGAATTCTCATGCTGCCATATGTTATTTAGTATCTCTTACTAAGTTGCTTTCTCTCTCCCTGAGCCATAGTTTCCTCCTGTATGGAATAGAAATATTAATAAACCTACTATGAAGAGTTGTATAAGCACCCAGTACAAAAAGATAGAAGATTTGGGAGGGAAAGAAAGCAGTTTCTAGATTCCACTCGTATATATATGATATTGTTAAATAAATTGTTCACGATGATCTGAGATACCCTAAGAATCATCATTTAACCAAAGCTTAAACTACATTATGACATAGTATTAGACATACTTTAGGAACTATAATTATTTGGAAGTTAAACTATATGCATTTAATATTTCTACTAACTTTAAAAAAGATTTATTTTAGCCAAGCATGTCATTTGTATAACAATCTGAATAAACTGATTTTGTTATGCATTATTAAATGGGTTGCTTCCAGATATGTACAAATTCACATGGTCAGTTTTGGACTATTCTAGGAAAATCAACATGTAATAACTGCTGGGGGTAAATTTATAAGACCCCTGAATAATAGCTGTTAGAGAACTCAGGCTATAAAACTAATTGAGACATATTTTCTGGAACTTAAAATCCTCATCAACTTTATCACCATCATACAGAAATACTGTAAAAGCTTGCTCTGATATGCTGAGTTCAAATACACTATTCTTGTGACCTCACTACTATGAGTGGGTCATATTCCGGTAAAAATAGAGAATATTATGATTAACTTGTTGAATTATTTTATTAGATTACATTTGCTGCTAACCTGAAACATTATAACTGTATCAATTTCTTGTTGTACCAGTTCAATTCTTTCATTTCCGTCATAAAAGAAATGCTTAACAGATTGGAATCTGAACATAAGACTAAACTGGAGCAACTTCATATAATGCAAGAACAGCAGAAGTAAGTAGGTTGCATATCAATTGTACATGGCCCCGGAGTGAGATTAAAGTTACCTCATGATTGCTTTTCTGGAATAAGTACTAGAAAAATGGATGGATTTCTGGTTTTTTTTTTCTTTTAAGGTTAAGTTTATTATTTTAATTTCAGTATAGTTAACGTGTAGTGTTGCATTAATTTCAGGTGTACAGTATAGTGATTCAACAATTCTATACATCATTACTCAGTGCTCATCATTAATCCCCTTCACCTATTTTTACCTATCCCTCCACCCGCCTCCCCTCTGGTGACCGTCAGTTTGCTCAGCATCGTGAAAAATTGATAGATTTCAATTTGATCACATGTAAAATATTTAAAAATTTTCCAGCATGTTAACTTGAATTGAATGAAAATTGAATGTGGTAGAAAATCTAATGTCATTTCTGAGTCCAAAAGTGTAATATGATATAATCTTAGCATTTTCTATATATAAGGAAAATTCTATTTCTGAGACAGTCTCTTGTTAGCATTAGCTACTAGAGGTGTAAATTCAGGGTGATCGCTAAGAGCACCACTTAAAAATATTTTTCAAATCTATGAAACCCTGGTGTTTTGATTTCTCCTTTTTTCTTTTCCCTGATTCCAGAAATGTTTATAGAGCATTCATTTCATATTTAATACCACAAATCCACTTTTTTTTTTTTAGGGAGGATTTTCTAAGTTATTTGCAAAATACTAGTATTCAAAGGAAGAAGGGAAAGGTGAAAATTACTGGAGTTTATTAAACTCCAGTTTACTAAAATAAAATCTCCCCTATATTTGTTTCCCAGAGAAAAATACATGATTTTAGGATGCCCATTAAATCCTGAGCCAAAAGACATCAGTAAAAAGAGAAATTAGGGGCGCCTGGGTGGCTCAGTCGGTTAAGCATCTGACTCTTGATTTTGGCTCAGGTCATGATCTCAAGGTTGTGAGATCGAGCCCCACATCAGGCTCTGGGCTAGGTATGGAGCCTGCCAAATACTCTCCCTTTCCCTCTACCTCTCCTCTCTCTCACTCCCTCTTCCCCTTTCCTTCTCTCTCTAAAAGAAAAAAAAAAAAAAAAAAGACATCAGAAATCACTAAAATTGATAACCAATTATGAGCTACGTTCCCAGATAGAAATTTTTTAGCTTCTGCCCCAGTGTAAGATGAAGGCTAATGGAAATAAATATACCAGGTGTAGAAAGACATGAAATAGCCCTTTGTATGCTCTAAATATTCTGTGATGTATATATTTATGTTTGATGGATTGACTATTAACATAAGAACCCTGAAAAATAACTTTTAAAAATTTATAAGAGAAAATGTTAATATCTAGTATTTATACTTCAGGTGTAAATGAACCTTTTTTCTTTTTCCTGTCTAAATCTTACCTATTTTTCAAGGCGTAGATCTGGCTCATCATAGTGATTATAGCATTTATTGTGAAAATCAGATTCTAAATTTAATCACATCAAGTTCCTCATATCATACCTTGTCTCTCAGTGAGCTATAAGCTCTCTGATAGTAAGAAACATGCTTGCCTGGTTTTATGACACACTGAGTAAATTCTCCAGTAAATCTCAAATATTGAATTAAAAAAAATGACTTGTATATGCAGTGTTACTTTTTGGGGGCAAGCAGACATTAATTATAGTAAATAATAAAGATTATGACTGTCCTTAAAGAATAAAGTTGCAGTTTGTTTAGATTCTAATAAACCCCATGGGGATGAACTATTTTTGTATGAGTATTTCAAAAGTAAGCATTTCTTTTTATTGCTTTGTCATAATTCAACTCTCCTCCAGATCTTTGGATATAGGAAATCAAATGAATGCTTCTGAGGAGACAAAAGTTACAAATGTTGGGTCTCAGGTAAGATATTTAGATTATTTATTTATTTATTTATTTATTTATTTATTTATTTTCTTCCAAAATTTTATTTAAATTCTACATATAGTGTAGTATTGGTTTCTGGAGTAAAATTCAGTGATTCATCAGTTGTATATTAATACCTAGTGCTTATTACATCAAGTGCCTTCCTTAATGCCCATCACCCAGTTAACCCCACCCCCACCCCCTGCAGCAACCCTCAGTTTGTTCTCTATAGTTAAGAGTCTCTTGTTTGTCTCCCTCTGTTTTCACTTATTTTATTTTTCCTTCCCTTCTCCTATATTCATCTGTTTTGTTTCTTAAATTCCACATATGAGTGAAAGCATATGGTATTTGTCTTTCTCTGACATATTTCACTTAGCATAATACACTCTAGTTCCATCCACATCATCACAAATGGCAGGATTTCATATT